TCATTGCTCATAAGGCGGGAAAAGCAAAGCGAATAAAGAAGCGCAACGTGCGCAGCCAATCGCCTGTACATATTTTTTTACAATACAAAATAGCCAGCTGTAAAAATGTGGTATATATATTCGCGTCGTTTGAAACAACTTTGCGCTGTTGGATTATAAAACCAAATTATCTTGTTGTGCCCCTCACCGACGCAGCACCACAGTTTCCTTAGCAACAAAGTCCATTTGTTGATACGTTGTTAATGCATTGTAATAATGCGTTGGTGTGAGGCCAGAAGCAACCAAAATAAACCTAATAGGCTGCATTTGGATAAATTATAATGTTTGTAAGTGCGTGCGAGCCTTTATTATTTTTTTTAATCGCGCGAATAAAGTTAGAATTTTTGCCTTAAACTGGCACTTTATTTAGTATTTTAGAGTATTGTAGAGTATTTTTCGTAAGGAAAGTTGTACTTCAGTTTCTTGTGTTTGGTTTTATTAGTCATACGCCAATGATTTGGACAGAAAACAAGGCACATTTATTCGTTGCTTTGTTATGCATCCAAGAATAGCTAATACAGAACTATTCTTTTCCTGCTTACTGAGAAACCAGAGTGTGTTGGATTGAAATCCGATGCAACATTTAAGTAAGACGTCATTAAGAACTAACAAACTCGGAAATTTCGGAAGATTTCATGCTTCTAGGTTGTTCCATTTAAACTTTTTAAAATAATTATAGTTTCATGATCACTGATCTATTTAATGCTTTGATCTCACACTAGCTATTTTTATTCATCCTTGAATGACAGGAGAGGTTTTATTTCAGTTTCTAACGTTTGGTTTCCTTGGTCATGCGACCAGAATACTAATCAAGACTTGCGCGCATTTGTTTGTGTTTTTTTTTCCACGTGTAATCGGCTAAAAAAATAATTTTATAGCCTTCTTTTCGCTTAAACGTAGAAAATGAAACAGTTTGCACCCAAATTTCTAGACTTTCCTGTTTGAAGATTTAAAATCCGAATAATCTAACAAAGAGTTGAAGATTTGCTTATAAACAATTTGACTTCGGCTTCGATATGTCTGTAAAATGAATACGTCTACGCCACCATGGCGCTTTGACGTGAAACACCCTACAGCAACTCTCCTTTCAAGCTACTTTACATTTTCTCATATATCATTTTGGAGAATTTGGTTTTTGATCAAAATAACAACCTAAAGCTGATAGGCAAATTTACCTAAGCATGTTTGGTTGAGTTTTTGTCTTAATAACTGCAAACAGTGCAACTGTCCATATACTTCTTTTCATTTCTAATTACGGCGAAAATATATATTTTTTTTATTGCTTTATGATATAAGTGGGTGAAATATTGAATGTATAGATCGTTGTTAATCAGTTCAGGTTAGGTTAGGAGCAACTCATTGTTTCATCGCTAGAGCTTTGATTCGCTCCTGCAAAGACTATCCACATTCATCTGGCAACTTCAAGAGTAATAAACGATGACTCACACCTGAGAGTCTCTTGATTGAAACGAATATTCATGGCGCCTCCTGGAGTTAAGCGCTCTTCAATTTGCTTCAGCAAAGTAAATAAGTGGATTGAGGATGCGCAAAACCTTTGAATCGACCTCACCTTTTATTATTTTAAACACTGAATAGGCTACATTTGAACATGTACGTTACAAAGAGAGCAAGCAATTAAAAATTAAAGTACTGAGTCTCAGTAATAAAAATTAGATGGAATTGGATTATTAGGACTTAAACCCGTTTGTATGTTTAAGGGAAACATAACAATTAGCAACTATTTCGCTTGAGATACGAAAACACGAATATCATGCCATGTGCTTTCCTAACCGGATCGATGGGGAACAGGCTATTTACAAATCGTTAGAGGCATTTTCTCTGTCGTTCGCAAAGAGAGAAAGTAATAGAATTACCAGTATTGCTTTTTGATTGAGTGTCATGAAACCAAAGCCAGTTAGTACATCGGCCAATCAGAGGAGAGGAAATTATCTCAAAGAACAGATACGACTTCAAAGTAAAAACAAGTAAACTGCATAAATCGCGCGAACACGCGAGCGTACAAGCAGGGTGGTGAGAGGTTAGATGTAAAAGTTGCAGCAGAGGGATGTATAGTGCTATTGAAGGGAGAGGGGAGGAGGAAGGGGGGAGCTCTTCCGCTTTATAACTGCAAGAGTAACGAGAGGACTAAGGAGAGCAAGCACTAGCACCTAACCACTGTGGACTGGGCATCAATCCAAAGGAAAACTGAGATTTTACTAGAGATGATTGTTAAGATTTTTATCGGCTATATCCTCCTAGAATTAGATTTAAAAGATTCCAAGGCTCTGGCTCGTCAGAAAAAACCATCCGCACTTGTGGACAACAACTTCTCTCGAAGGCTTAAACTCAATTTTGGTACATAAAAGCTATGCGTGTGTCAGTAAACACGCCCTCTGATAAGATAAACAGTATTCGGTTCCATGCTGGGTTCTAATTAAAAAATGGTATAAATGTTCGCAGTGTTGAGTTCTTAAGGTTTGCAAGGTTCAGTCGTAAGATTCGTGCTCCGTTTTTTCACAATGACACCATCATAATGTGGACAAATCAGGCATGATAACATGTACTCCTGGGGGAGGGTAAGGAGGTACATGAGTTGAGAGAAGCCCGACGTTGCGCGAGGATTGAGACGAATGAAAACTGAAACAGACAAGGAGATAGTCGCGTCTAATGACGCGCGCAGAAGATTAAAGTTGAGGGCGATGAAAGAGGCGCGAGTAAAGATGGGAACAAAGGAAAATTACGATGACAAAAAGGAAGGAGAAAAAAGCGATGCGGTGTAAAAACTTATGTAAGGAAGAAGGTAAAAAACCGCACACATGTACCAGTATGAACACGTCCGTCGGCGTTCAAAACCGCGTAACAATATGGACAATCAGTGGAAGAGACACATGACAATCGAAGAGATGACGGGCCTTTGTTTAGTGGGTGGGGGCTTGAAACATGGAAAGCTATTTGTTACAAATTAAAACAAGTACATGTATTGCAGTCCCCAAAGGATCTGTTCTCTCTTCATCTCACTTGCATCCTTAAGATATGGAGAGAGGCGACAAAAATCAACCCAGTTTTTGTATTTTTTACTCTGTTTATTTCTCTTACGCAAATAAGTAAACAAAATAAGTACAATGGAAACTGCTTTAAATTTTGCAAGGCTTTAAGTGAAGTACGCACTAAAAGGAGACACTAAAATGAACCCATTTACTCCCCAAACTGATAATAAATTATATGGGCTAGAAACGTGATGTTACATAGTATTCTCGGAATGAAGCAACAAAGAAACACATTCTTTTCAGTTGGGAGAATTTGTCCTCAGAACTTAGGAGTTTAATAAAAGTAGCATTAAAACACTTCACACGAAATACACTGACATCATACAAAACATATTTAGTTAAAACTATCCCAGCTTGTTTTTAAAATCCTATGTTATATCATATTCAATCATGTGTGAGGTTAACTATTACATTTTATACCAGCATATACCAATAGTAGTTATAAAAATCTGCAAAAGTAAGATTGATTTTACAAAGCTTTCCTCTAAAACAGTTCTGATACAGTCTATCTTGAACTTCTGACCACACAACGGGTTCTAATTACAAAGCGCGCTCTGAGTACCTTAAAATAAATTCTTAAATCTAAGAAAGATATTATCAGACATCTTCAAATTATACTTCGGTGAATTTTGAACAGGGAATTTTCAAAAACTGAAAGTTTTCTCCTAGAGCCTTGAACCTTTTCAACTAAGGACTAGATTTGCAATTCTTCATTAACCTTTTACCAAAATAATTCCCGTTGGCAATGGCTTACTTTAATTGCTTCTCTAATTTATGGGCGTAAATATTTTCCTACTAGAGACAACAAATTCTGTCACATACATTAAAAGTCACACCTATGGAAACTTCAGATACAGTGAACTCTGCTTTGCTGTTTTTTTTGTTTTTTGTTTAGATTACATGGACAATTTTAACCTCACTGTCGTGGTTCTTTAAAACGAACAGATACGTGTTTGATAAAATGGACAAATTTTTACCAAAGTCACTTGACTAAAACAGGGTTGTGGCCAGCTTTTTTACCTGTTGTAGGCCTTTTCCGTAAGAAATTTCAATTCTAGTTTCCACATTTGCAACAGCCATATTATAAGTCAAGCAGGCGGAAAACAATTGTAGACCAGGCCTACAGAACTAGAGGCTGGCCACATCCCTAGAAGTAGGTCTAGTGTCTCTAACATATGGTCAGTAGCCCATCATCTCAGATGTTTACTTCTTCAAACTAAGCTTAGAATGGCAATCTTGGCACTGACAGAATTAGATTGTATTAAAATAGATTGAAAAAAAAATAATACTCAATTTTTCTTTTAAAGATAATCTCAATTTGTAATAAAGTAACTTATGATCTAGAAAAGTCTTCCAAGTTTAATTACCATACTGCTGCAAATTTTTCAAATCAAATTTTTGAAGTTAAAATTCCACCCACTTTAGCAAACGACGAACCGTTTCTTTGCTTATCAAAAGCTTAGAGTATAGACGTAATTAAAACCCGGTAGACAAGGTCCTGGTTATGTACAAGAAAAAACATTTAAATTGTTTTTCATACAACTGATTGTAATACATGAATAGAGCAGAGTGTCATTTTGGCGAAAACGGAAACCTCGTATTCACCTTCAACCTCTGTAGGCATTCATAACAGAAGCATTGTTGCATTTCATTCTCTTTGCAAGCATTTAAATTTGTAAAGGTAAGACAAAATAGACAATTCCACTGATCAAAATAAAATGAAATAGTCTGTTTTATTTTTCGCCAAATTAAAGTTACACGTCTCAAGTTCCATTTAACAGAAAAGTAAAAGTAATAAAAAATAGCCAAAAATTGCCAAAACAGAGAAACATTTAAACCTTTCAAGTTACTGCGTCATTCTTTCTGAGATAAAAAAAATTATTTATGTGATTTTAAATTCAAATTTTATCTTTCCTATGCCATGAAATCAAGACTAACGTCATCTCCAATCAGTAAAAAGGGCGCCCAGTATTTGATATCGCGGAACTCGTCTGATTCTCTGAGGTTTTTCATAGCCAGGTTCAGTGACTCGCTTGCAGGTTTACCTTCTGCAAGGTGTTGATAAAAGCATTTCATGAACTCAAGAGTAACTTTGTCTTCAACCGCCCACAGGGAAACCACAACAGACCGAGCACCAGCCCCCATAAAAGCGCGCGCAATGCCAACCACACCTTCAGCCTTGATCTCGCCCCGACCACTGTAGCAGCAACTAAGTACAACTAGTTTGGCGCGAAGTTGAACATTCATCACATCTCCAATTGTTAAAATGTAATCCTCTTCCGTTGGCACAGTAGATATTCGGTCTGGGTCAGGTGTAAGAGCAATTTCGCCTGTTTCCATACATCCGTGTGCCGCAAAGTGAACTAAGGAAACGGAACTGAGTCTTTTCAACACCTCACGTTTCGTGGCTTCTCTGCCAGTGATTGACGTGACATTCAGAATTTTGCCGATCATTTCTACCTCTTCTTTAGCACAAGGAAGCTGCTCGAGGAGTTTCTCTCCCTGGCTGTTGGTAACCTCGGCTACCCACGGATCTCCTACAAGTAACGCACCACTGCTTTTGTGATAGTCATCTGGGCAATCGGCAATGAGTCTAAGACTAGTTAACGATGGAGCGAGACGGATTCTGAACGATTCACACAGGTATTTAGAATTACCATCCTTCAATGCAGCGTAAGGAGCGAGCCACAGGGGTCCATCGGGAATAATGAGTAGCTCATCCCCTTGAACCAAGTCAGCCACCGGCTTCATAACGGTATTATACAAAGTGCTCAAGCATTTGTTTTGTTGGATGGAAGCTTGAGGGTTGTCTTCTTTCGTTTCCTGATCCACTTTTGAACGGTCCTCGCTCAAAGCATCCAAAGATCGGTTCTCACATCTCACATTAGAACGAACACCAAGTTGTGTATAGACACCGAGCATGAACGACTCAAAGGACTGACTAGCCCCACTGTTCTCTGAAACAGAACCATTGAGTTTACTTTGTCTTAACTGAACTTGTTTTCCTTCGGACACAACCCAAAGATTGACGTCAGCTCTGTCCATTGCCTGAAAGACAGTGTTTGATGGAACGTTTTTTAAAACTGCTAAATCTTCATCGCTTCCCTTGCACTGACTTGTTCCACCACAAAAACGGGATTCCATAAGGTCGGTGAGAGCTTGGGCTCGTCCTTTATCAGCGGCAAGTAAGGCTTCATCTATATTACCTTGTTTTACGAGAACTCTCCACAAACCCGTATACGCCATTTGATACTGATTTCGAAAATTAACTTTCCATTCATCTTTAGATTTTAGAAGTATTCTCAAGGAGTTAAATAAGGTTATGCTAGCTCGGTAAGATTCAACAGCTTTTGGCAGTCGACCCTGCAACTCAAAAACGGGTCCTAATGAACAGTGGGCCATTGCCTCCAAGGATTTGTCTTCGACCTCTTTGGCAATTTTGAGCATTAGCTTGAATGACTTGTTGGCCTTGATCAAATCTCCCTGAGTTCGATACACATTGCCAACATTGCCATAAGCACCACCCTCTCCATGCTTGTCTCCTACTTCTATAGCTATTTTAAGATCTAGGTTGTGGCACTTTATGGCTTTTTTGAACTCACCCAGTCTGTCATAAGCAATGCCAAGATTTCCATAACTTTTACCCTCCCCATGCTTGTCTCCTACTTCTTTAGCTATTTTAAGATCTAGGTTGTAATACTCTATGGCTTTCTTGAAATCACCCAGACTGTGATAAGCAATGCCAAGATTGCAATAAGCTTTACCCTCCCCATGCTTGTCTCCTACTTCTTTAGCTATTTTAAGATGTAGGTTGTGGTACTCTATGGCTTTTTTGAAATCACCCAGTTTGTCATAAGCAATGCCAAGATTGCCGAAAGCTTTACCCTCCCCATGCTTGTCTCTTACTTCTTTAGCTATTTGAAGATTTAGGTTGTGGTACTCTATGGCTTTTTTGAAATCACCCAGACTGTCATAAGCAATGCCGAGATTGCCAGAAGCGTTACCCTCTCCATGCTTGTTTCCTATTTCTTTAGCTATTTCAAGATGTAGGTTGTGATACTCTATGGCTTTCTTGAAATCACCCAGACTGTGATAGACATTGCCAAGATTGCAATAAGCTTTACCCTCCCCATGCTTGTCTCCTACTTTTTTATCCATTTTGAGGTGTAGGCTGTGGTACTCTATGGCTTTTTTGAAATCACCCAGTCTGTAATTAGCATTGCCTAGATTGCAATAAGCGGTACTCTCCCCATGCTTGTTTCCTACTTCTTTAACTGTTTTAAGATGTAGGTTGTGGTACTCTATGGCTTTTTTGATATCACCCAGATTGTAATAAGCAATGCCAAGATTGCCATAAGCACTACCCCCTCGATGCTTGTCTCCTACTTCTATAGCTATTTTAAGATCTAGGTTGTGGCACTCTATGGCTATTTTAAACTCACACAGTCTGTCATAAGCAATGCCAAGATTTCCATAAGTTTTACCCTCCCCATGCTTGTCTCCTATTTCTTTAGCTATTTCAAGATGTAGGTTGTAGAATTCTATGGCTTTTTTGAAATCACCCAGACTGTGATAAGCAATGCCAAGATTGCCATAAGCATTACTCTCCCCATGCTTGTTTCCTACTTCTTTAGCTATTTTAAAATGTAGGTTGTGGTACTCTATGGCTTTTTTGAAGTCACCCAGACTGTGATAAGCACTGCCAAGAGTTCCATAGGCTTTACCCTCCCCATGCTTGTCTCCTATTTCTTTAGCTATTTCAAGATGTAGGTTGTAGAACTCTGTGGCTTTTTTGAAATCACCCAGTCCATAATTAGCATTGCCAAGATTGCCATAAGCTTTACCCTCCCCATGCTTGTCTCCTATTTTTTTATCTATTTTAAGATGTAGGTTGTGGTACTCTATGGCTTTCTTGAAATCACCTAGTCTGTCATAAGCAATGCCAAGATTGCCATTAGCTTTACCTTTCCCATGCTTGTCTCTTACTTCTTTAGCTATTTTAAGATGTAGGTTGTGGTACTCTATGGCTTTTTTGAAATCACCCAGACTGTGATAAGTAATGCCAAGATTGCCATAAGCATTACCCTTCTCATGTTTGTCTCCTACTTCTTTAGCTATTTTTAGATGTAGGTTGTGGTACTCAATGGCTTTTTTGAAATCACCCAGACTGCAATAAACACTGCCAAGATTGCCATAAGCTTTACCCTCCTCACGCTTGTCTCTTACTTCTTTAGCTATTTTAAGATGTAGGTTGTGGTACCCTATAGCTTTTTTGAAATCACCCAGTCTGTAATAAGCAATGCCAAGATTGTGACAAGCGTTACCCTCCTCATGCTTGTTTCCTACTTCTTTAGCTATTTTAAGATGTAGGTTGTGGTACTCTATGGCTTTCTTGAAATCACCCAGACTGCGATAAACCCTGCCAGGATTGCCATAACCTTTACCCTCCCCATGCTTGTCTCCTACTTCTTTGACTACTTTACGAAGTAGGTTGTGGTACTCTAATGCTTTCTTGAAATCACCCAGACTGTGATAAGCATTGCCAAGATTGCCATAGGTGTTACCCTCCCCATGCTTGGCTCCCCAACTATAGAGGTCAATGACTTTCTGGACATCACCTGAACTTGGAACACCATGGTCATAACTAATGTCATCTTTTTCCTCCATGGACTTATCTCCCACTCCTTCCACAGACTGAAGTCTTAATGACAACAAAATCCTATGACTGTTGTCAATCTTTTTTCAATGTTAAGGTTTAAAAATGTAGAAAAAACCAGTTATGTGCTTGGTTCCCAAGCCTTTGAACAGGAGTGTGGCTAAGGGTGACCTTGTTATGATACAACATTGCTGCTTTTCAAATGCGAATTACTTTGTAATTATGCTCACTCACTCCAAATCAAAGGCTTGGCAACTAAGTACACAACAGTAAAATGGCCTATTAGGAGGGCTTGCATGAAAGGTAGTTGTTTGATCAACATTCAGTCAATCGATCTACATATCATAAAAAGGTTTCTTCTGTGTACAACCTCAAATTTTAACATGAATAATCTAAATATAATCTGTTATTTCCAAAAACTGGGAAGCACTTTCTTGATTTTTAAATTTATGTATCTTTAACTTCAGACTATAACGTTTTACAGCAACTGGAAGAAATGACTCTAAAACACAGATATGTGTCTTTCAAAGTTGTATTTGTCCATAGGAAAACACGACAAAGGTTTCTGAGTCTCTCAATAGCAGAAAAAAAAAATCAACATAATACATTGTACAGACATTGCCAAGCTTCTTTTTCTGACTTGTTTTAGAGAGATTATCTATCCACATACCATACATACACTGGGGGAATATTAGTCTTTTAACTAAACTCATGTACCAGTTGTGGCATAGTATGACTATTAAGAACAAGTCTCTGTAAGATTCATACATCTTGGGAAATGAAAATTTTCAACTTCGCTTTTCTCTTTTTTTTTTTTGGATTTTTTTACTTCAGAAAGTGGAAAACTGCTGACATATATGAAAAATATCCATTTCTCGTCTTCTTTGGAGCGACCTATGGAAACTTCACGGAGAAATACAGCGTCACGCCATCGTGATCACGTACATGTTTATGACAAATGACCGGTGTGAGGATAGTTTCGTGTAGATCAGCCGACTTCAACATGTTTCAAATGACATACAGGTATAACAGTGTATCTTCAGAGGACTTCGGATCGTTCAAATTCCCATGAAAGAAGGTGCAGCGCTCTGAATCTTGATGATATGTACACGATTTGAGGTATATGTTTGTAGTTACGTCGAGTTGTCCTCCATGAAGGTTGATCAATTTTTTTTAAAATATGATAACCAGAGGCGAGATTTCTCTTCGGGATATTGCTCATAAGATAACGTTCTTTCAAGGCCTCGCATGTTTCATTTGTCTGAAACATTTGTTGTTGAGAACATTAGATGTAAACATCGCCAAATTATGCAATATCTGATTTTTGAGTTTCGTTAACGAATTGCCCCTACAAAAAGTAGAGGCAGGCCCGCAGAGATTCTTACACATTTAAAAACTAGAATATTATTACCAGCTAGGTGGGTAGTTTCAGTTCCAGAATCGGTGTACTTTTGGAGAAATTCAGATAAACGTTTTCCCTGTTTTACCCGACGACAAAAATGACCGAAACTGTACCGAGATAAATAATCTATTGGTGTGTTCACATTCACTCCCAGGGAAAATTGAATGAATCAATGTGAAGATGAATGATGTTACTATGCATGGTAGAAGTGCACTCTTTTTTTGCGACGTTTTTGTAAGAAAATCAGGCCCCAGGCCTCGAACAAGCAGTCGTTGTTACCATAGCAACAAGAGTGCTGCAACCTTTAACAAGGGCATTTTTGTGCATCTCCCCTGAGTGCCTAACTGCATGCAAAATTTGACGGGGGGTTGAAAATTTTCATTTCCCAAGATGTTTGATTCTTACAGAGACTTGTTCTTAAGTAATGGTTTAGAGGAGTATATCACTAATAAGTCATGAGGTATTAACTCTTCCCAAAGTTTAATCACACACTCTTTAAGGATGAGATGACATTAGTTCCCATTGTAATTAATACCCTTCTTTGCATTTTCTCCCTTAAAACGTCAAATTATGGGATATTTCCACTATACCCACGGTTAAAAATTAAAGATTCCTTCAAAGGATACAGCTAATCCCTTATCACACCAAGTGATTCCTTCTTTAAATCTCTTCAGTTCAACACAGGCAGTGGCTCCTGTAGGCAACAACAAAAAGAAGCATATAATTACTGTACTTCAATTCCAAGAAAAGAATCAGAAACCATTAAAAGCTAAACCATCAAAGACCAGAAGAACCAAAAAAACAGAAAACAAAAATATACCAAATGGAAAAGAATAAACAGGCCCTATTAGGTTTCTGTTAGATTAGCTTTTGATGATTGAACTTCTAAGAAAATTTAAATTGGGACTAACAATTCCCACAAAATCAGTAAGAGATAGAGATAGAATAAAAGACATGCAATAGCACTTGAAGTTGAGTTATAACTGATGAATGAGGAAAATTTTCCTTACAATTTTGAGTTAAGTTAAGTCCTTACTTCTTTTCAGCTACTGTAGATATAGTGACTAAACATATCTAACACCACTTAACCTCACTTATTGCGAAAAAGGGAACTAAAATACTGATGCTGAAATTTGCTTTGCATTTCACATTGAGTTCTTCATTCAACTAAAAATAATATTCTCATCATAATAGAAAGTCATGGCACAGCAGCCAAGAGCTTGATTCAAATGTACATCAGGGTGGTCTTGACCTCTTGATTAAAGTCAATTGAGACAAGATTAAACTTCATTTAACCTTGGAGTGTTGAGTTCTTTTTTATATTATTATAGCACAGCTAACATACATGTATCTAACCTCTCACAATTGCCTTGAGGAAAGTTGGATTTGACTCAACGGCTGCTTCTGCATCCCTTAGTGAATTCTGGTGATTTCCTGTTTTTAAAATAAATATCTCTGATGAGCTGTACATATGGCAAATCATACAACCACCATTATATTAATTTTAGAAGAACTTGTGATGCTTTTTGATATCTGGGGCAATAGGCTGCTTGTTTGTATGTTTGAGAAGCCAAGATAAGGCACATATATTTTTCCAGATAATTCCTCTTTGGGCATACATACATACATACACGTAATTATCACTTTTTCAGAAAACTATTACCGACAACCCTTAGCTTCGATCACAAGAGAAAAAAAGAATGCATATTGAAGCTCTCATCATCTTACCAAGTTTGAAATGTGCAATAGCCCTGTTGTTGTACAGTTTGGCCTTCAGTTCTTTCTCATTGCAGTTCATTTTAATTCCTTTGCTGTAAAAATGAATAGCACTGATGAAATCTCCTTTCTTGAAGGCCTCATTACCCTCATTCCTATAAACATCAGCTGTAGCTGCAAAAGAAAAAATAAAAATAACTTAATACGTCAAAGCCTGTTGTAGTTAATTAGAGTATAAGCAGAGCTGCCAAAATCTGGAGATTTAAAATCTGCAGATTTTTCCTTTTGTGCCAGCTGCCACTTTTGCACTTGCCTTACTTGACTCATCCCCTGAAAACCTTTGATGATGTCTGTTATTTGTCCCCTCACAGGACAAACCCCGCTCAGTTAATTCATGAAAGACTTTTTTTGGTTGAGAGACAACCAATCAGACTCAGTTGCTGTTGTGGTTATCATTTAGAAGAAAAAAAGTGTAATCTCTACTTAAAAACAACCTTGGTGGAATCAAGAAAATAACAATAAGAACCCCAAGATAACCTTAATAATAAAATTGGAAGTGGGAAATCTGGAGTTGAAATGTTATGTTTCTTTGAGGAATTGACCCAAACCTCTTTTATCTTGAAGGTTTGATGACCCATATGGGAAACCTAGAGTTTCATTCTGTTTCTGTGATCCACTCCCTGATAATCAGAAAGAGTGGTATAAAGTAAAAGAGTCTACTGCTTTAATTACATTTAGATTAAGTTAATGAGTCAATAAGATCCAAATGTTGCAATCATAAAAACCAGAAGCAGTATTCCCTACAGACAAATAATTATGATATAAATGATAAGAATGATATTAAGAAGATGAGATAAATATTTATGATGATGCTAATAATTTGGGTGACAACAGTGGTAATAATTAATGATGAGAACTAAGCATCAATCAATTTGAAGCAAAAGCCTAGGCATTTAAACTTTTGGAGATCGGTTTCCAAAAATTCCTATCCCCTTGGGCAAAATATGTGTTCAAATGCCCCTACCAATTTTTATGAAAAAAGTAAAATAATTAGCAACTGTGACTTTCAACACATTGACAAAGCTTTAAAACCTAGACCCTGTGCACTTTTTTCTTTTCAGAGCCATTTGTTAGTGAAAGTGGACTAACTACCTTAAACACCTCCACATTCAATGATATATAGTATGTGCATTCTAATGGAAAGTCTCAACACTTCTGGTTCAAATTCCCCAAGGTCAGTCAGGCAATGTTCAATCTCCCCCTTTGGCGTGGATGATGACCAAAAGCCTGTTGTTAGAGGAGAAGGGAGGGGATGTTGAAGCTTTCAAAGTTACTGCTGCATTATAAGGGGGAAGATGATGATGGTGATGATGGCACTTACAAAATGGATGTTATATGATAATCAAATAAAGTCTTTACTTATTATAATTTTGTGTACTTGCTTTGAACTTTTAGAAAAGCAAATGTCAAAGATTTCTGTGTCAAAGATCCCCACAAAGGACAGCATATTATAATCATAGAAGAGAGTCATGACGGGCCAAATACCCTTTAAAGTGGCCCCCCCCCCCCCTTTGGCTTAGATGATAATAAGAAGAAAAATTAAGCCTGTTGCTGGAGGAGAAGGGAGGGATCGATGTTGAAGCTTTCAAATTCACTGCTGCATTATAATGGAAAGATGATGATGATGTTATTTACAAATTGGATTTTAAATGATGATCAAATAAAGTTTTTACTGATGATAACTTTGTGTACTTGGTTTGAACTTTTAGAGAAGGAAATAACAAAGGTTTCTGTGTCATAGATCCTCTCAATGAACAGCATATTGTAATCATAGTGGAGAGTCATGACTGGTCAAATATCCTTAAAGTGACATACAGTACATATACTGTTCTCCACATCTGCTTACTTTATTGAAACTGGTGGAATAGAAAGAGTTCAAGCCATAACTGAAGCTGAAGTTGAACATAGCTCACCTCGTAAAGTGTCCTCGTCAAACTCTGGTGCATTTTCCTTTTCAGGTAAGTCTTCATTTTCACATGGCACTTTAACTGGACTTCTTGCTGTAGCCATAGAAACTGTAAGAAAATGCTTCTTCCAAAGAGTTGCTGTTTTAAGTTATCCTGGCCTGAAGAAAGATGGTTGCAAAATGGTGTTAAACATTAGCTCAACATATTACCAAGTAGCAAAATAAATGTGTTTTCCCTTCTGAGAATGAAGGGATACACACAAAATCACAAGTCAGTTAACATTAGTGGCATACAAACAATTAAGCAGCAAAAGAACAAAAGATGCATATACTGAAGAGAACAAGCATTAATGTTTAAGTCAGTGAACAGTACTTCACTTCTTATTACAATAAATTTCAAGATTTATAAAATATATTCCCAGTTGACTGAGATAAATCGGGAAAAAATCATCATCTTTGTGCTGCAAGTTCATATAATTTGTAACAGCAGCAATTTAAATTATTTAAACTAAGAGGCTGTTAAGGTAGTTAGGTAAAGTCTGCATTGGAGCAGTGGCCTCAGTCCAGGCCCTGAGCCTATAATCCTGGTTTCCTCAAATGAAGCCACTAGGAGTATTACCACTATTCCCCCCTTGACGGGATACCAGTCCATCCTATGGTTACCCCACACCCTTCCCCCCTGGCATTTCATCAGGCTTCCCTAACTAATTTCTGCATCCTATTTAAACTCCTGGGTGGAGAGGGGCACTGTACACCCATTGTTTAGATGGGGGTTGGCTCAACGAGTATGCTTATTGCAGGAAAAACACTGAAATCCATACCCTAATGCATGATTACTTGGGCTACACAGGTAGGCTGGGTGACTAAGTTTTGGTTTTCTATCTAATATCTATCTATCTATCTCACCAATGTTGAGAGCGTGAAAGCCTGCATTGCTTGACGGTCTGCAGTATTCCTCAACAAGCATGAAAGCTAGGCAACTGTGAAAATGAGGTGGCTGACAACAAAACAAGTGACTTGGTTTGCTCTTTATAGGTCTCTTTGCTCTCTGCTTCTTGTTGGAATGCTCAAAGTACCTATAAACCGTACATGCTATTCACGGTAGACCCACACTAAATTAATGAGGTATGATATATCATCATACCTATACATTACCTTCAAGGTTTAAAGCTCTGTTTATGTTTATGCTGTTGTGTTGTGATCCTGCACAAATATGATTAACCTATACCTTCAAGCATTTAACACTTGGTTAATGTTCATGCTGTCATGATATGTATAATTCATGACTGGGTAAATATATGTCAATTGAAATTTATATTGATAAAAAAACCCTGCACAAATATGAGTAAACTATACCACCAAACATTTTAGTTTGTAATGTTTATGCTGTAATAATATGTATAGTTAATGATTGAACTTGTTATCAACATCTCATTTGAAATTCATATAAATAAGAAAATCCTGCACAAATTTGAGTGAAGTGTACCATCAAGCATTTGAACTCGGTTAATGTTTATAAGCTGTTACAATGATCTTTTTTAACATTTCAATAAAGCTTGAGCGATTGACATTTGTTGATTGACTATTTCAACTCTATTTTATTTTCAGCTTTGGGTATCCCCGATCCAGGGTTTTTGTAATGATTAGGATTCCTAGAAAACATTTAGCATGTGCAATACTGGGGGGAATTTAGTTTTACAAGGATTAGTGGGAGAACTCGAAACAAACTTAGTATACAGGATATTTGACTTAAGTTCACCTAATGAATCCTTGATTTCCATCTCCTTTCAATTAGTATACCAGTAAATCCTAATGTTCATTGGAAGAGGGTAAAAGTTATGCCATGTCAGGTAAAAAATGTGAAAAAAAGCAATGGATATTCACGTTTATGAACTTAAGGTGATTTTGCCAATTTTGGTATATAGTTCTGCAGATAGATAATATGTTTCAAACATTTCTTTTCCATCTGATAACAAAGGCCACATACACTTTCTCAAACTTGAATTTTGGGAGATATGCATGACACTTAAAGCTCTCACCAAATGGAGCCTCTTGGAATTCTTTTTAAGTGTTTAACCCTTTAACACCTAGCCAAGATCTCATTAACAATTCTCCTTACTGTCTGCCATACAATATTTATCATGCTATTTCTGAGAATTTGATACTGGATCAACTAGAAAATCCTTAAACTTATATTTTTTTTATTCTCATCACCTGTCTGATTGATATTGTATTGATATTGTAAGGAGAAATTCTATCTTGGTCACTCATGGGAGTTACAGGGTGAAATGATTGCTTGTATTTCCAAGATCCTCATGCAAGGATATTCTTTCTGTGTCACACAAACATAGCCTGAGTAAACCCTTATAGGCATCTAGTTTATTTTGAAATGGATTTAAAAACTGCATGTACACAGGTGTTTGTGGTTTACCTGTACACATGAACAACAAATTGTTTTTCTAACCCCCTCATAGTTCGATGTTTTGTGCACAAAATTGATTTTTTTTTAATGCTTACGTTAATTCTGTTGCTAATCAAGGCTGGTTGTTTTTCAAATATCATATAATCCTTGCTGGCTGACCTCGTGTACAAAAACAAGGAAATCAATGGTTTGGGAATTCAGAATAGCCCAAGATACATGTAAAGTGTAGATTATTTTTGCAAAAGCCAGTACTAACTGACTAACTGGTGGAGCGGAGGGCCTTACTAGAGAATAATTATTGGCCCAAGGTTGTGTCAGTGTAGAAATGACATATTTAGTGCCAATATTCCCAAGTATGACTCAAGAAAGCAAGGTATGCACTTAAATGTCACTTGGACTAAATTTGTTTATTTTGAATTTTCTGGCTTCCATGTAAAAAACACATGTTTTATGATTGTTCGTATGGTGCAATGATGGTCCTTTTGGCAAAATCCTGACCAAGTAAGAACCAATCAGAAGTCTTGAATTTACCCCTAGACTAACCTTGCCATTATGATAACATAAATTATCACCAGACACATACTTGGATGTGTGCACCCAATAATAAGTTTTGATAAAAAGAAAAAAAAATTGATCAGAAACATTTAAGTGATGTGATTATTGATTAATCATATAATATAAAACAGTAAATTGAAAGGAAGCTTGCAATAAATCACTAGCTGACATTTGTAGAAAAATTATTTAGTCTAAATATTTAGCAAGGAAATCATTATAACAGCACAGTTTGGAAGGAGAATCTGAATAGTCTATCAAAAAGAAAAACATTTCTTTCAAACTCTAAAATAATAAACATCAACACATGAAATACCCTGGAAATGTTTATCGCTTTTTGATCAAATGCATCGTAAATACGAAAGCAAATTAAGTAAATACATATATAAGCCCGACATGAAAGCTAGAGCAAAACACGATTGTGATCGAGGATGTGCAACATGACATGCAAACGAAACTGAAAGTGTTTCGATCATCAGCGCTTGCACTAAATTAAATCGATAATTTGGATGCTACTTTAACTCTCACGAGTAACTTATTTTGTCCAAGGTAAATTCCACGTATTGCCTGCGAATTTTAGTGAATTCGACAGCTGTAACTTGTTCGAACAAGCCAAACTTAAGTAGCTTACAAGTAACACGAAGCGGCAAAGCAATTAGTACACGCCAGAATCAATAAAAGTTAGCAATCCTCGTCAGTTAACTGCAGGAACGTCTTTCATTGCCGGAAATCAGAGGAAATTAGGACAGATTAAGAACACGTGAAAGAGAAAATGTTAACTGAGAAACTTGGAATAGAAGTATTTACCTTAAATTATGTTCAGAAATCTGATACAAACATGCGTTCTTACCTCTGTCACGGAAATGGAAGCCACATTTGACTGTTTTACGACCTTGCCTCCTCAATTCCACGTGGAAATGTTTCGTGGCTTGTCGTGAAAATGAAAGGGGGAGTCCCTTGGCCCATAAGTCTGTGCAAGCTTGAAGCCGGAAGTGCTTTAGCTGAAATTGAAAGAAGAGCCCCCGTTTGGATTTGTGACCTAGGGCCTGTAGTTTGGCCAAATTATTGCTTTGAGTTTAAAAAGCTGTTTCTTTCATGCATCGCACAGTGTCAGTATTGAAAAATATTAAAAACAACGTAACGAATGTTATAATTTTATTACATGGAAATGAAAGCTGGAAACGTGAATTTCTAACCGACACTGAACACTAAAAAAAATATCGATCTACATCATGAAGAACTCCCGGAAAGGTTTAAAGATAATTTATTTGCAATATATTTGCAATACGACGAGAACAAACTCCTAAAAACTGACTATAAAACGTGTTCATAGACGTAAGAATAAAATATTTCTCGTGCGTTTCTTGTGTTCTTCCAACGTCGACTATATTATTCCATCTCACTTTTACATGTTCTCATTAGCAATCTTAACATAACACATGCGAGGGAAGTCTTTCTAATATTAGAAACAAATTCCTCTCGGAATGTATTCATAGAAATTTTGTGATTGCATATCCTTTAGAGGACTTTGGAGCCAAGAGGGTTTGTGACACTGCACTGGTTCAGGGGATACATTTCCAGTTTTTTTTTTCTAAAATGATTTTTTAAATTTTCTTTAATTGGCGGTGACATACCTGAGTATTTTTAAGCGTTGTGTCGTATTTTTACTCGCTACTCCCTACGACTTCTTCAAAGCAGAAACAATGGGTGAAAATACCAAGCAATACTACACACCAAAAAGTCTCATAAGCTGTTTATGATCCAACTGCTTTTTTTTCAATCCCTAAAACCTTACTCATTTCTCATAAGGCGGGAAAATTAAAGCGGATGAAGAAGCGCAAATTGCCTAAACATATTTCTTACAGTAAAAAATAACCAACTGTGCACATGTGGTATGTATATTCGCGTCCTTTGAAATTACTTTGTGCAGTTAGATTATAAAACCAAATTATCTTGTTGTACCCCTTACCGACTCAGCACCACAGTTTCCTTAAAAAACAAGCCCATTTATTGATACGTTGTTAATGCGTTGTAATGATGCGTTGTTGGTGTGAGGCCGAAAGCAACTAAAATGAACCTAACAGACTGCATTCGCAGTAGAAATCTCCCAAAAGCTTAGCATACTTTGTA